TCAAAAAGATAAGCCTTATGAAATCTTCGTTTCCTTAAAAAAAAGAAAGAAAGAAAGAAAAAGAAGGCACTAAGATACGAAGACAACAATTCTCACTCTTCCTGAGGAGACTTTCTTCCTGAAACTTCAGTTAATAAAAACGAGTCCAAGCATTTAAAAGTGAATTTAGTTCTTCATGCAACTTATAATTTATTTCATGTGGTTGCATTTTCTGTGGAAAGCAGATACATCTTACTGAGGTTGACATTCTTTTCTGACAGACTGGCTAATATCTCATACAAGATTAAGATAGAAGGGAGAGATCCTGAATGCTGGCGGTGGCTCTGAGTGACGGAATTTTCATTTGCTTCTCTGGATGCTGCCTCCACACCTGACACAGGTAATCACACTGACTTCTCAGCATGGCCATATTAGGCCAAATGGATTCTCAAACAGAGGTTCTGTCTAAAGGGACCATTTGACTTCCAGAACATACTGCTCAGAGTCCCTGATTGAAAAGAAGGTCAATGCTGGCCCAAATATCTTTCTACCCCCTGAGGTGGAATAATTGATGTGTAGCAGCCCCTACAGATGTGGAGTCACCAGGGTGATGGATGGATATAAGTGTATTATTCACACGTACATCTGCTAATATACAGGTCCCAGTGCAAACACCAGGACTTAAGAATATTATGTGGATTTAGGACAATCCCTGAAGGACTCCAGTTCCATTAAAAATTTGTTTGGCAGCCTGGGGCAGATCTAGTCCAACTCCCACATGCTTTATGCATTTGAGAGGGAGAACCAAATCACTTTAACAATAAATTTAATAAATTTTGTAATGTCAAATCATTAACACCCTGTCTAGTCACGAAATTTTTTGGAACAATAACATTAATCTGTGGAATTTTTTAACTCTTTTAATATCTGAGTTAATGTTTTTATTTTGCTTATGCTTTTTTGACTAAGGGGATGAACTACATACCAAAACCAGAAGAAAATGTTGTTATTTTTTCCTCTATAACTGTTTTTCTTGTTACACATATGCCAAATAATACCCAGAAAGCCTGGTGATCAGAGTGCACTTTGGTTTGTAAATGTGGAGAAGATAATTGAACTTATTCACACTCTAACATTAGTTAGAATCTGCTCCTGCAATGATTGTAACATTGCTTTTACAACTGTTCATTCATTCATTTAACAGATTTTTTAGTGTCTATGATGTATGCAGAAGCCTAGAGTAGACAAAAGAGAAACAAGCTGTCCTTCAAGTAGTGATAGCTACGAGAGAACAGTAAAAGTGTGACTGAGAAGAATTTCAACTTCTCCAAAATACCTGAGCCTCTCACACCATGTGTTCTCAGGTATTCAAGCAAAATGTGGACAACTTCCCTGCCCCCAAAAAAGCCTCATCACACATAGCATATTTATTTGATCATCACAACAACACTAAGAAATAGCAGGTATTTGTGTGGCTAATATAAAAATCTGAAACTTTTTTTGGGGTGGTAGTAGGGTTTGAACTCAGGGTCCTGTACTTGCTACACAGACACTTTATCACTTGAGAGACACCCCCAGTCCTTTTTGCTTTAGTTATTTTTAAAATAGCGTCTCGAGTTTTTGGCTGGCTTCCATCCTCCTGCCTGAGGCCTACCACATACCTAGGATGGCAAACACTACCACTGCCTGGTTATCAGCTGAGATGGGGGTCTAACTTTTTGCGTGGGTTGGTCTTGAACGGTGATGCTCCCAGTCTCTACCTACCATAGCTGAAATTATAGATAAGAGCTACCACACCCAGACAAGATCTGAAACTTTTATCTTATTATTTATTTATAGTTAGTTTTTGTGGTTCTGGGGGGTTGAACTCAGAACCTTGCACTTGGTAGGCAGGCACTCTGTCACTTGAGCCATTCCACCAGCACAATTTTATTCTTTTTTTTTTTAAAGTAGTACTGGGATTTGAACTCAGGGCTTTATGCTTGCTAGACAGGCACTCCGCTGCTTGACCACACTTCTAGCTCTGATCTTACTATTTATACTGGGTAAATTGTTTCAAGATTCCAAAATTTTATGTAATACAGTAGATGAATAGAATCTGTGCATAAGGTATACAGAGTAAAACATGGGTGACTGTACTCCCATTCTTGTGATTCTCTTGTCCATGCACAATGTTCTCTGGCCTGTGCATGGAACCCCTAATACAAGGCCCATCTGCAAATTTTTTCATTATACCATTGCCTAAATGCAAAGTGCTTAATAAATTCAGTGCTTCCCTGGCATAGTAGGTAAAAATAGTCATTACTTCTAAGAAAAAAATAAATAAATAAAGTTATAAATTAGTAAAATGACAAGCACTAACAATTTTTAAAACAATAAGAACTCCTGGGTATTATGGTCCAAGAATCTTTATAAACTGCCACATAGAAAGTACATGTCCAGGAAAGACAACACAATTTGCCTCCTAGATGTACAGAACTAATTATATAAGCAAGGAATGTGGTCCAGGACTTATATAATGAGCCTCCTGCTACACTCCTCTCCACACTCCATCTCAAAGTGCCCACATGCTATGAACTCCTGACAGACCCTCCACTCCTACCCACTGAGGCAAATAACTTTGGGTTAGAGTTGGGTATTTCAAATTCTCCAGACAGGAGTAATGCTGTTGTTCTCTATTAAACTCTTGGCTTCTCCCCTGAAACTGATGGGAATTGAGGGGGATAAGCAAATGGAACTTCAAAGCTCCTGTGAGGCCACCAACCCTGCTCATGAAGGCTGAGGGAGGTGGTAGACAGGTGAGCCAAACACACAGCTCTGGCTTTTGAAGTCTGGCTGGCTACCTCCATTAGCTGAGCACACAGCCCCATGGCAGCTGCTGGTCTTTGTGAAGCTGAACTTGCTTAGGCCATGGCCTAAGCAGAGAAAGGTAGGCAGGCAGCAGGAAGTAGGAAAAATAACTCTGACATCTCTTAACTTTAAGCAATGAAAAATGGAGGAGAGGTGGAGTCAGGATGGCAAGCAAAGGACAAACAGTCAGGAGGATTGGGGAAAATGTTCTTGTATGACTAAAAACTGTGAGAAGTACATTGGTTTTTCTCATGATAAAAAAGTTATAGATACAGATGAAAAATGTGTGAAAATATCTCTACTGATAATTTTGTTAGCCAGACACATTAGTAGTTAAATGCAATCTGTTTTTATAAGTACTTAGGGTAATGGCACAATAAGGAAGTTTTCAAAACCCTCAGAGGCACCAATACAATGGATTTTGGTGCTCCAGTGTCACCTTGTGGCAGCCAACTCAAATTGCAGGTACAAATCCTAAAATGAACAAAATTCAGGAAAGTGCTTTAAAAGTTCACCCCTATAAATGTAGACACCACTCTCATACCCACACAAACATGGATCCCATTCATTTTTTAGTACCTATGGTGATAGTTGTTCCTCAGTTGCATAGAGTACACTAATGGGACCAGGAGAAGACTCTCAATCTGTGTTAAAATAATCTAAAATATTCATGGAGTATTACTTGCAAATGCATATACAAAGAGGCAGCTTAAATGTCCATCATCTTGGGAATGAATTAAATAAACTTGCATGTCCACACAATAAAATGTAAAGGAGTTGCTGAAATGTGCAGTAGATCTTCATATTCTAGTGGAAAGATATTTGATATATTTTTAGACACAAAAACCAAGTTATTGAACAGTATGTATGATGTGAATTTTTAAATCCTTAAAATGTATGCATTTTTACATAAAAAGGTTCAAAAGGACAAAGAACATACTGCCTACATTGATTACCCAAGTGAGGGTAAGGGTCTTTATTTTTAATTTTATGCTTTTATATCGCTTGATTTTTTTCCATTGAGCATAATTTAATGTTCTTCTTTAAGTAGACTCCCTTGAGTTCCACAGTTGATGAAAGACAAAGTTTTCTCTGCCTTCAGTACAAGCTCCTGATATGCACTGCACTCTGCGACATTTGCCCCTTCTTTTCTATGTAAACATACAATGTTCATTTTACCTGGTTTCATGTACCCAAACAACAGCCCTGGAACCTCAGTCCCACCCATACCCAGACAAACTTTCAGCAACTTCTGCACCTTCAGTTACATTCAAGTCTTGCTCAGACTTCTGTAGATGTAGGGCAATGGACCTTAGTTAGCCTTGGGGAGGCTGAGGTAGACAAAACATAATATGTTTCTGCCTAGACAAGAGCGACCCTCAAAAAGAGCTCTAATGTCCCTCTAATCTGCCCATCTTTCTCTAATCTACCCCCTCCTTCTTTATTCTTACTTCTCCCATCTAACACAAATGTATCATTGTTCAAACATCCTTTAATTACTCACTCAACTACAGTTTCCCTGATCTTAAGCTTGTTCCTTCCATGTTGAAGTAAGCTAACTTAAGTTACCCAAGCTAACTAGGACACACTGGTCTTTCCAGGACTAGAAACCTAATGTGCTCTTGCCAAGAGTACAGACCTATTTATCACATGCTTATCAGACTGGCTTTCCAGGTCTGCCTAAGCCTGGGTTCCTCAAACTTTTGAGATGTCTGTGTTCTCTTGGAGCAGAACCCATTGAATCATTTATTTTAGAAATATTTTCTGTTCACATTATAGAGAATGATTAACTCCCTTAATATTTAAGAGCTCCTGTAAATCCAGAAGCAAAATACCAATGATCCAATATGAGCTGACAGTTCTCAAAAAAGAAATACAAATGATTCCTACAAATATGGAGAGATACTCAACTTTACTTTAAAAATACAAGAAATACACACTAAGCTGCAATCAGATGTCATTTGCAGCTATCACAGGGACAAAGTTCAACTTCAGTGGTAACAAACTTTGATAGTAAGAATGTGCAGTACTGGGCATGCTCGTGCATTGCTGAGTGTAAATTAGCACAATCTCTAACAAAGACAGTTGTGAAATACATGGAAATTTTGCATGTGCTAGCCTTTTAGCCAGAAGTTTCCCATGTAAGGTATTTATCCTAAGGACATACTTACACAGCAAGATGCAAGATGACAAATTTCCAAGTATATACACTGAAACACCAGCTGAAATAGTAAAAGATTAAAAACAACCTGAATTTCTAGCATAAGAGATTGGCTAAACAAATTACGACATATTCATGAAGGAAATACTGTACAGCCATCCAAAAGGATGAAGTTGTTATAGGTGCTCATTTTGAATTGTTGTACTAGAAACTGAAGGAGAAAAAGAAGCATATATATGCAGTTACTTTTAAATACTTGGAGTAATTCTAACATGACATGAGGAAATAAGGAACAGTGGTTGCCTCAAGGGAGAAGAACTGGCAACTTGGGGGAAATAAGTGAAAGGGTAACAACTTCACCATTTTATTGCCATTGTAGCTATACAAGCTGGTCAAAATACACATTTTTAATACACAATAACTGTTTGTCTGTGCCAGTACATCAAATACTAAACTCATTTTCCATTATGCCCAGAATTATCCTTTCATCTAAACCTGGACTTTATCCAGTTAATCTATGTCAGGCTGACCCTACCCCACTCCTGTGGGATTTATACTTGATTCATGTCATTCTCCTATTTTAAAACAAAACAAAAACTTCCAGGAGTCCCCAGTGAAAAGTTCAATCTGTTAAAAAATCATTCTGTCTCTGTTACCATCCAGCCGCAACCTGCAAGACTCTAAACTCATCTCAGCCATATCAGGTGGTTCACCAGCCTTACCTTGCCTCCCTTACCTTACCTATAAAATTTCCTCCCATTTTCTCTCCTCTCATCTCTACCCAGCAAAATTATATGTCTTTGAGGTCTACATTAAATTATCTCCTTGAAGTTTCTTTATACCCAGGAAGAACCAATAAAATTTTCTGTGTACTTCTAAGGGTACTTCATTTATCCTTCAAAAGTTTACAGTTATATATAATCTATGGTTACCTCCCTCACATTGAAAAATCCTGAAAAAAAGAAAGCAAGTTCACTCACCGTGTATTCCTAGCTTCTAAATAACTGCCTGGAGTTTGCAGGTGCTTGATATATAGTCACCATTTTTCACATGCTTCTAATTCATCACATTGAGTTTAAATGTTATTGCTCAAGTCAGATTCAGTACTACCACCTATAATCCCAGTATCCAGGAGACTGAGGCAGGAGGATTGTGAATTCAACAGCAGTCTGGACTACATACTGAGTTCAAGGCCAGCCTGGACTACAGCGTGAGACCCTGTCTCAAAAACCAAATGTTGTTTCTCAGACTATTCTGCTGTAATCAGTGAATGTTTGTCCAACATAACATGGCACTGCTCATGCAAATTCACTTTCCAAGTTCAAGACAGGCCCTTGTGCTTGAATCTTTTCTCTGAATCTGGCATAGCTACCTCGTAGCAGTGGAACTTCACTTTCTTCAATTGGATACTCTGGCTGCACATAAAAGAATTTCTGCTTTGCTGCCCTAGGGTTGATTGCATATGATGTGGTCCCCATTTTGTGAGTTAGACATTCATAAAAGCAACTTGGGAAATCATTTCAGCAGCAAATGGATATGAAATGCCATCTCTAGAGAGAGAAGTTACAGTCCTGCTCTGCTGTTTTACTCTTAAATGCTCTTAATTCTGAAGGTAATTATAAATTTTCCTAAAGAAAAAAATCTAAATAGTTTGCCAAGAACTATTTATGATGGTTACTTACTATGGGTCTGTTATGCTTCTACTCAAATGTAGCCAATTAAAAAGGTTGTGAAGGAAACAACTTAAATGTCCAGCAACATGTGGATGGATAAACTGTGGTACATCCATACAGCGGAACACTATTGAGTAATAAAAAGGAGTGAACAACTAACAGGTGCGACAACATGACATATCTCAAAACAAGTACGCTAATGAAAGAAATCAGACCCATCACTGCAAAAGAGTATATTACCTAATCCTATTTATATAAAATTCTAGAAAGTACAAACTAATCTAATAATGACATAAAGCAGAGCGGTGAGGGCTTAGGGATGGAGAAGAGGATGAGGAGGGTTAGGAGGAAGGAATTACAAAGTGTCATGAGAAGCTTTAATTGGGAGGTGATGAAATATGCATATTATCTGGATTTTGGTGATTATTTCATGGGTGTATATATCTTTCAAATTGTCAAAACTTATAAACATATACTTTAAACTATGAGATGTATTGTGTGCCAATTGCACCTCAATGAAGCTGTTTTTTAAAGGACATGGGAAGAGGACAGAGGTGAGAAATGGGTAGAAGAAAAGGGAGTCCATCCAAGGGTACCTACACAGTGCTACTTTTAAAATGGTGTTCAAAGAAGGGGTATGTTCAATATGCACAAAATACCCTTCCAAAACGGAATTTCCTCCAAAATGTCACTTTCTAAGGAGACAGAAATTACAGTTTTGAAAGGAGAAGCCAGGATGCAAGCAGACAATTGGTTATTATGGAAAATCATTGATGTATCATCACAATTTCACAATATTTCTTACAGTTAAAATAAAGCTCCATATCTCTCACAAAGGTATTGTAGAGCATTAATTGATTTGTGTTGGTAAAAATCCTTGGTCACCATCATGGAAAATAACTGAATTAAGTATCAAAGTAGAAATGTACACTGTTGTTATTGTTTTTATATTTGTTTTTCTTTACGATAAATATTAGCAGATACTAACTATTCTAACATATCATACCAGGAGAGATTGTCACTCCAGGGGTTTGCACCTCTGTTCAATTGCATTACAGCAGCCAAAAAGATGTTTAAGTAAACTTGTGTAGCTATCTCTGCTACTAGATAGCCTTGCAAATAGCACTTGCCTACTCATTAAGAAGCGTGTATGTAGGATGAACTGTAAATCTCTAGGCTTAATCATGTGTTTTCTTTCATGGAAAGGTAGATTTTTTTTGGCCTTCTTTTGAGAAGAGTAACTTCATATTAACTACGCATGATGGTATGAAAATGTACATGGCAATTTTGTCAGGAAGACAATGCAGACACAGGCAGAGAAACTCAGAATTTGAAAGATGTTTGGGCCACAGTCTGGGTCTTAGAGTAACAGACACAGCATGCAGTGTAACAGTGACTCTTAGTGATTGTCCTTAAGTATCACTCCACAACAATCCACACACACTATGTCTTCAGCAACTGTTAGACATGATTTATAATTTCAGAAGTGAAATTTGAAATTGTGAGTTAACATTTAGTGAGTGGGTCTGGATACCATAGATTGCACTATTGGAAAAGCAGACCTAAAAATGTTCCTGTTATTTCTATTCCAACCAATATAATCAGAAATGATCATGGAGAAAACTCATCTGAGTGTTAACTATTGGGCAGAAATAAGGCTGTTCTTTAAGAGCACTATATTAAGAAGGATACTTTGCTATAAATCTCTACACTGGAGATTCACAGCAAATTGGGTAATGGTTTCCACATTTTGATTGAGAATATCATTATGAGGCAGATACAGGTACCTGCAATTCATTATGGTCACCTGTAAAAAGTTCTGCAATTTATAAGGCTAGATAGAATACAGTAGTCACTAGGTACATGTGGCAATTTAAATAATATACATTAAAAATTAATTTCCTACTTTTTGAATGCACAGTACCTATGTGTAGTTAGTGGTACCCCCCTCCCCATAGGACAGCACAAATAGAACATTCCCTTATCAGTTTTGGGCTAGAATGAGGTAAAGGCCAACACAAAGATGCCAAGTCAGAGCATCTGGAATGTTGGCATTGAGAACAGGAGCATGCACTGGTTACAATGGGGCTATCGCTGAGCTCCCAGGAGGAAAGAGTCCTTGGTTTACACTGCCCTAGCATGGCTTTCAGTTAATAACCTAAAGTTAGAGCACCCTTTATGCCCCCATGTCCTCTGGGACCTCAAAAACTGAATGTATGTCCTATAAAATATTAAATTAAGAAAATTAAGACAGCACACTTAGTGTGAAATAAAGTTCATATACTCCTGTTTAAACACAGATTAGAATTTCTGTCAGAACAATGCCAGTGAAAAGTTGACATTCTAATTAATACCATTTACATTATAAAGCACTGAATATCTTTATCTTGCTACTATGAAGTGCCCTGTTTTTTAAAAAATGGAAACTCTGTTCACCAGGGAATTGAGTATTAAGGGCAGTATTTAAAAATCCATGTACAAGAGAGGTGGCTAGGGTCACTGACATTTTTACATGCCATCAACGCAGGTCTCTGAAAAGAGAAGCAATATACTCATCCTGTACCACACCTTTTTGTCATTCTTTATCGCCCACAAGGCTATTTGCAGGCAGAAAGAGGATTCTGAGGCTGTTTTTTCTGGCAATGATATAAACCATGCTGCAAAAAACAAATATCTTTCTTTCTCTCACTCTCCCCTCTTATTCTCTCTCTAGTCTCTCCCTTCTTTCTCCCACTTACCATCTCAGAGAGTGGCTCATGTAGGACTCCTAGACAATATTTACTCAATCCAAATTCTGAGCGTGTAAGAGGGGTAGAAAATCAACCCCACAGTTGGGTACCCAAGGATTCTTGTTCACTGCCTTTGTCAATTTTATGCTATCGGTGAAAGGAATAAAGATGAGATCCTTAAAGCTTGAATTTTCATTTCCTGTGACAACGTGCTTTTTCTTCATGCCTTATCACACTCCACTACTTGGTTTCCACCCCTTCATAATTGATATCGGCCATTTGAAGCATTCAGTAAAAACCTCAAGAGGTTCATCAAATGTCCTCCAGTCTATAATTCTTGCTTTTAACATACTCAGAAGCACATTCATCCAAGTGTTTTCCACTTCCCCACCATGGTTTTCTCTGCACACAGGATGGGTATAATGACAGTTGTATTAATTATCTGCTGAAAAATCCACATAGCAGCAAAAATGATGGAGATCATCATTTTAAATATTTTATTAAAATAATGCAGTGTAGAACAGGGAAAGTAGAACCTCTTGATAATGAGAGACTCATTAATTTTACAAGATTTCTAGAAAGCTGTAGAGTGGTCACCAAAATTGTCTTTTTCATTCATTTAATCTTATGGAAAAAAAAAAAACCCCTTTAATTTAGAAAGTGAAGGTTGAGTAAAAATTTTCTAAGGTATTTTTAAATACCTACTCTTTGAAAAAAGCTTTGAAAAAATTGGCTTAAAATACAGAGAATTTAGATTTCATAATATTACTTGAAATGCCTGTAAATAAATGTTCAGCTTTTGTAGCTTACACCATTAAAACTTGGTTTCATTAGCATGTAATGACTTTTGATAAATAAAATTGATATTTTACATAGACAAACAAGCATCGTGTTAAAATTCTTCAATGACTGGTAGCAAGAGTAACACAGTTTTCCTACCAAGTGCGTCTCCAGGTAGAGTTTAAGGCCATCCGTCTCTGCTTTAGGGGGAGTCCAGTTCTCAGTGGTTTCCATGGCTTCATTTAACCACTGAATAAATTCATCCAGCTTGTTTACAAACCCCTTGTGAGAGAAAAGAAAGGGAATGGGCAGGACAAAAAAGTGACATTAGTTGGTTGTTTTTTTGTAAAGCCAATGTTAAAAATTCCAAACTTCACCCATGATAAAATTGATGCTTCTGCACTCCCTTCCCAGTGCCATCTTTACTGAAGTGAAATTTCCACTATTCCTGGCTCTTTTATCTATCCAAATAAGAAAGAAACTGTTCTCTTAATTTTTTTCTCTTAAGAATGCTTTCCTAAAGAATTTGGACTGGATTGAGGGGTGTCACTATACAGGTGACCTCAAAACATCAAAAAATTTTTGGTGTCAGACAAGCAATGCCTTGCCAAAAATGTATGTGAGTAAAATCAGGTCTTCTATAAACACTCCAGGCTTTGGGGCTTAAAAGTGTTCCTGTAGAGGTGGAGTTCTTTCCTTAGAATCCTATGGAGTTGAGCTGCCTTAGCTAAACTAGAAATATCTTTTTAAACCACACAAGTGTTTAAAGGTACTTGGACGAGTTCTAATAACAGCCCAAATGTCTGTGGCTGAACCTGAGTGCTATGGAGCAAGGAAGGGTGGAAGACTGGGGCCAATGCACAACCATTAACATCTGACTTCTGGGTAAGTCCGCACATAAAAAAATATTCTTGCCTAGGCAGCACAAATCACAATAATCTTGCAATTTTTCAAACAGTGGTTATAAAATTTTACTGGCCATTTAAAAGAACACATCTGTAGAAATGGAAAATATTTTGAAAACATGAAAACCCAGCTACAAACCTAAGCAAGGGAATGGGGCTGGGCTCCTGCTTTCTATGCCTGGATAAACAGCACCACCTGGAGGTCATGAGGAGCAAGGACAGGCTTCCACATTTCTACTTAGAAAGCTTTGAGATGCCATTTCCCTATAAACTTAACCCATTCTTTAGATTTGCCTTTTGATTAATTTTTTATTAATATTCTAATGTCTAACTGAGGATATCCTGAGACCAAAGTGAGAATAGGTTAAATTCATTTTCTTTATCATGCTTCTTAGAAGTGAGGTTTTGTTATTAAGCAGTCATCTAGATAATTCTTTAAGGTTCATAACCTTTTAACTGGAGCAGTTGATTTGCCTGAAAAGAATTATTAGAAAAAGAAAAGCAGAGTTGAGGAGAAAGGCAGACAAATAACACAACACATTCCTGTCTGTTAAAGGGAAAAGAGAAGCTAGAGGTGTGGTTGCAGAGGCAGGTAGAGTCAGATTAGACTGTGCTACCCTGCTCTGCATGTTGCAGCCCTCAAGATGCTCAGTCTGGTACTCCATGTGGGGATGTAGCTTGTGTTTTCCCATGGGCATAAGTGCTCTATTGAAACAGACCTTAAGTCAAGTCTCAGACAGTCACCCAGGATACATTTCACATCCAGATTTCACAAATGCAAGGTTTTCCAGCCAACAGTGTGGAAAGTGGGAGGTCATTTGGGTTTTTGTGGTACTGGCATTTGAATTCAGGACCTCACACTTGCTAGGCAGATGCTCTATCACTAAGCCACATTCCAACCATTTTTGCATTAGCTATTTTTCAGATAGGGTCTTACATTTTTGCCAGGGTGACCTGGACTGTGATCCTCCTACGTATGCCCTCCTCTATAGCCTGGAACCACAGGTGCGTGCAACCCTGCCAGGCTTATTGGTTGAGACAGGGGCTCACTAACTTTTTGCCTCAGCTGATAGTTTTGGTAAAACCAATAAGAAATATCACCTTGAGCTGAGCATGATGGTATACACCTATAATTCCAGTACTCACCCATAGTCTGAGGCAGGAGGATCACAAGTTCAAGGCCAGCCTGGGCTACATAGCAAGATCCAGCCTCAAAAAATAAAAATAAACAAATATTTTAGAGACAGCTTCATCAGACACTGAAACCTAGGCAATCTGTAATTGGCTGAGCTGAGATCTATGAGGAGATTTAACTTGCATTAAACCCTAGTCTCCAAACCTAATCTAATGATATCACTGAGGTTCCCTTGGATTATACTCAGAAGTCTTTTATATTAGGTGAAAAGTATTCAACAGTGAAGGCTTCATGAATTCCATACAATGCATTCTTTTACAAAATGCACTTGCTGATGATCCACCCAAATCAATCTTCTTCTTTTTCATATTACAACTTTTTCTAAATGCAAGGAATGCATGCCAAATAACTCATTTTGCTCTTTCTTATGTATTTAACATATCTTTAAGGTATCCATTTGTCTGTTTTTTCTGTTTTCCTGCATTGTAATAAATTTAAGAGTTGCTTTGCTTTTCATTTCCTCCCTCCCTAGTATTTGACCCTTTTAATGTAGAAGTTACCCATATTTGAACTCAGTCTTCTCAATAGAGACTTTCACCTGTCAAAAATGTCATTCCCCAAGCCCCCTCTCTGAAAGACTACCCAGGGATCAGAATATTTTACAAATTCATATCTGACTTGATTTTTCCTATAAATCTATTCAGATGTGTACATTAAAATTATAAAAGAAAGGATAGGGTTAATTAGAACTCAAGTCATTATAAGGTATTCTCATAATGGAATTTTTTTGTGAAAAATTAAGAGACCCTGTGCTGACCATATGGACTTATAGAAGTTTATCAGAAAAGCAGATTCTATATGGCTGATAATTAAGATGAAAGTTGAATTTATAATACATATAGTATTAAATAGTATTCACTACTGAATTTGGATTTCAGTTGTTATATTTGTGTCTATAAAGTGGTTTCGGGAGAAAATTAAGTTAGGAAGTAAATTAATTTGGAAACAACTGATTCAGTTCAAGAAGACAAATAGTAAAGGATATTACTTTAAATTTAACCAGTGTTAGACTGCATTATCTTTTCTCCCTCCAAGAAAAACAAAACAAAACAATGAAAGCATACATGAATGCATAGGGACCACATCATAAAAGTTAGTTTTAGCCAAAGAGCATTAAATAACGTGTGTCAGATTTCCTAACAGACCGTGATTACATAGTTAGCTGAAATTTGTGAGATGTAGTTTAAGCAAAGCCCATGGGACCCAGGTGAATCTTTCTGGTTGATGTCTCTGTGCAGCCCAGCTAGAGAGCAGGGCTCTCTGATATCAAGGAAACAGGTCCTTTCAAGACTTTTCTCTGAATTTCTTGTGAATTATATCTCATCCTCACCAATTTTCATTTGCTGCACATTTTCCTTACTCTTTTCTCACAAATACTGTTTCATCAATCACAATAGAAATCTGACAAATCTCAGAATTCCTAACTTGTAATAAAAACCTATGTACTCTTCCCTTTTAGGGGGATCTTAGTTTTCTACCTCATCTACTGCTTTTACCCAGGACTCAGAATATTTTACAAATTGATATCTAACTTTGATGTTTGCCATAAACCTGTTCAAGGATATAAACAGAAATCATGAAAGCAAGTAAAACTGGAGTCTATTCAGTTCTTGATACCATTTTTCTAGCGCTCTCATCCCGTTATCTGTGTTCTATCACAGCACCCAGGGTACCGTGTACTATCCTTACATCATGGGATGCTCTTTCTCAGAGAGTAGGAGAAAACGCTGCTCAATCCCAGATCAGGTGGCTGTGCGGATGTATTCAGTTAGACACGTACAACAAGGGTTTGAGGCTTGCTTTGTGTTATGAGTAATGGAAAACGAAGCTAGCATAAGTAGCAACATAGGGAAATGGAGAACATACACAAAATTATTCATTTTGAAATGCAGATGAAATTCTAATACAACGAAAATTGACCATTCATTCCTTCATTTATTTAACAAATATTTATTCAGTGCCTACTATGGGAAGGACATTATGGGGTGTACAAAGATAAATATCACTGTGTCAAAAATTTCAGAATGAAAGCACGTCTAAACACTGGCTCACTGAATTCAAGTAGTTTTAATTGTTAGAGGAGTTTTACAAAAAGTAAATAGGGGACATTTTCCTGGATCTTGTGAAACACACACTATGTATACCAGAATCCTGTCTATACTGAAATTTGTTCCTATTCTTAGTATTAACCTATCTGGGTATGTTCCTCTAATATTCTGAGTTCACCCATACTTACCTGGAGAATCTAGGATGACTATAAAAAAATCACATTTTCTTCATGACATAATCCAATGCTACCACTGCACTACATAAAAAGCAGATTTTATGCATCTGCAACTCACAGTAATAATCTGAATTACAAAACTTTGCAAGGCCACATTTTAGTCTTTGTTGTTCAAACTTCTGCTAATATGTCTGCTCAGTCTCTGTCTCTCTGCCAAACTGTCCAGGGGCACAAGGAGGATGACCCAGTCCACAAGCTCCTGTAGTTCCCAAACCCTCTCATGGCTTAATTACTTCCTTCTGTGTGGATCCCTCACCATGTTCACATTTGACAGAATCTCTAGGACTGTAAACTCTTGACTGGGGTGAGGCAGGGTTCACCCTCCAGAAGAAACCTCAGTTGTCAAGCTTGGGGGATAAAGGAGCTGCAGTTGCCCTTGCAATGCCCAGTGGGCAGCACACCTCCTACTTTCAAATCATTTATGTTTTGAAAGTTCTGCCATGAGGTGTTTTTTTTTAACTCACTTAAAATACATGCAAATTTATACTTACTAATTTGTAAAAACAAAAATAATTCTAACTAGTTTGTAAAAAAACATAAATTTGAAGATTATACTCATTGGGACATTTACAGTCAAGTATTGTAAATAGCTACACTGTCCCTCTAGACAGGTATAAAAACTCATTATTTCTCCTATCTTCCTAACTTTTTCTCTCCTATAGTAATTTTTTTGGTTAATATAAACTATAGAGATAATCACCGATGCCCTCTGGCAAGGCTGGCTTATGTATCCACAAGAAAAAGGAGGGCCTCCTCACAGCGGGGGCTGTGAAATAGTCATGCAGTGGAAAACAGCGATAAGGTCCCTGCCTTATGAAGTCAAAAGCATAGAAATAGTTTTATTTTTGAGATTACATGATTTTTCCACCAAAATAAAACTGAAACCCATTTCTCTAAG